ATAACTCAGAATTGTTTATATACTCCGGGAGAAAGGGCAAAACCCTGATTATTCAAAATAACTGAACCTGACAGACAAATGAGCGATTGTACCTCAGAGGATGTACATGTCTGCTCTTCCTCTCATTGCTAAATCATGGGCTAATCTTTCCACTGTGTGATTATCTGTAACAAAACAATGCTCTTTGTATACAAGAAATTGGCTCAGTTTCATCAACATGGGTTTAATCAGAAATTCTCTCTATGACAAACTGGCCCAGGGTGCCCAGAGCAGCTGTGGCTGCCCCTGGATCCCTGGCAGTGTCTAAGGCCAGTATGGACAGGGCTGGGAGCAGCCTGGGACAGTGGAACGTGTCCCTGCCCATGGCAGGGGGTGGAACAGACGAGCTTTAAAGGTCCTTTCTAACCCGAACTATTTTATGATGCCATGATCTGCATTCCACTCCTTCCAAGCCTGCCTGTGGATGCCCTTAGTCACCCCCACAGAAAGAGAAACCTCCTTTCCACCTTACATGCTGGGAACTGCGACATGGGCACTCCAGGGCCACTTGTTTTTAACCCTTTGCATGCTTCTTTTACAAACACTTCAAGCTGCAGAGTGAATTTCTAACACCCCAAGGTAAGCCCAGACCCTGCCCAGTGGATTGTGGAAAGCCCAGGAAGAGCTTTCCTCCAGGGACTGCAGAGCCTGGTTAACTGCCCCGAGGTCTCTGAGGATGTCACATGAGAAGCAGAGCTTTGTGAGAAAGTGCCTGCCCTGGCTGCCAAGAAGTGCCATTAAGTGCTCTCTCCATCCATCATGTCCACTCCTAACCAGCACATTCCCTTCACCACCTGCTTCACCTGATCTCAGCTCAGTCCACCAGTGTTTTATCTGCCCTGCAGCCTGGCCAGATTTCATTGTGCTGATGTCCTGGCTCCATCCCACCCCACTGTGCTTTAAGGCAGTCTCTTCACAAAGGTCACCATCCATAAAGGGGCCTCAGGACTGGAGAGAAGAGGAATGACTGTATGGAAATGGCAGGCAGCGATCTCTGCTGGGACAGGACCCAGGGAATGCCTGGAGCTGTGCAGGGAGGTTTAGGTTGGATATCAGGGAAAAGTTCTTCCCCCAGAGGGTGCTGGCACTGCCCAGGCTCCCCAGGGAATGCCAGAGCTCCAGGAGGGTTTGGACAATGCTCTCAAGCACAGGGTGGGATTGCTGGGGTGTCTGTGCAGGGCTGTGAGCTGGACTCCATGATCCTGTGGGACCCTCCCAGCACAGGATATTCTGTGAAATATCCTTATGCAAGGGTCCCTTCTGCCCTCAGCTCCGCGGCTCTGCTGTTCTCTGATGCTGCAGCATCACCTCTCCAAGCCCAGGCTGCACCTCTCCTCCAGCCCACCTTGCCACCACGCTTCCTCAGCTTCTCTCACTCTGCCACGCTGTGCCAAGCACCTTCCCTCCTCTGGGGAAGCTTCCCTTTCCAATCCTGCCTGGACAGGAACGCTGGGCTTCCAGCAAGGCCCTGCCAGCAGCAACGTGCAGGCAGGACTGTGAGCAGGGAGTACTGAGGAATGTAAATTATCTATTGTTTGCTCCAACCCGCATGAGGTGAGAGTTGATATGAACAATGCACTCCCCATAGCACCTCTCCTCCACCTTATCAGCCCCTGATCTTAATCCCAGGAGTCAATGCCACCATCAATCACTGTTAATGAGAGCGAGCTCCCCTAGGCAGGGGCCTTATCTCACTCTGTATCTCCAGAGCCACATGAGGTTATGTCAGTCTTGCAATTAAGTAAAGGTTACACTGGCCTGAAAGGGTTAGCACCGGCTTTTTTGGGAACACTTCTGTGCTATCAGAGATCAGATGAAGCAAAAGCAAAAAAGGAAAGTGGTCCTCAAACTGAAAGAGAGTAGGTTTAGATTAGATATTAGGAAAAAATTCTTCCCTGTGAGGGTGTGAGGTACTGACTGACACAGTGAAGCTGCAATCATCCCATCCCTGGAAGTGTCCAAGGCCAGGTTGGACAGGGCTTGGAGCAACCTGGCATAGGGGAAGGTGTCCCTGCCCATGGCAGAGAGGTTGAAACTACATAATCTTTAAAGTCCCTTCTAACCCAATCCACTCTATGATTCTATACATTCCTTTACATGCTGCAATTCACGGGTTACTTCCATTATTGGTACTTTCTGATCCAGCAGACCTCAGTACCAACTGCATAGAAACAGCAGGTTTTGAACACTTTCAAATATTTTGCCACCTATTGCCATGAAATGTTCCATTCTCTACCAGAAATGTTTCCTGAGGTTAAGGTAAAGAGTAAACACAGGGGCAGTAACCCTGATTCTGTGACTCTGCATTTCTGTGATTTTGATTTAGTAAGTCCTCTGCAGCCCCGCTGCCTGCATCAGTCAGAAAACCACACCCACTGAGAAAAACCAACTTTAACAACCCCAATGAAAGTTAAAGTGAAAAAAAAAAAGCCCACCACCAAACTGCTTTCTGGAGAACCCCTGCCACAAGGCAAAAATTACTCCTTCTCTTGCAGATCACTCCATCAGGGCAAGGGAAGTTGTTGCCTTCATCTCTCTCATCTAATTCCTGTCCCAGCTAGAAAGGAGCTGATCTTGCACTGACAGGCTCTGCCAAGAATTCAAGTCAAGGTCTCCTGTTCCAACAGCAGTTCAGAGCACTGCTTGCTCCTCACCCAGGTCATGTGCTACCTACAAAAATTATTTGTTGTGGTCTCCTTAAAGGCACAAGTACCTGCAATGCCATTAAAACATTCTTGCCTCTGCCTATAACTCAGCTGCAGATTTAAGAGCAGCACAGACAATCCTGGGACAATCAGGTCAAGGCTGTCAGTGAATATTGCCTCTGGACACAGTTCCTGGGGAGGAGTGATCACTCAGCCCTGCCTCATTTATTATCTCCACAGCTTGGCTTCAGATCTGCAGCTCTCCCCCCACGCTGGCCCAGAGCAGGGGCTGTGGGAGCTGTGCCTCCCCAACCTGGTAACTCAGCACCCAGGTCAAATCCGAGGTCTGGAATTCAGTTCAGGGGAAAATGGATTAAAACCCTCTATGCTATGCTAGAAATTACATAGCAGAACAGATTAGCAGAAGCAGTGGTATCTTCTGGACTGGACTTTATTAGTTTCAAACTCAAGCTGGGCCATATTTAAGAGTAGAGGTGATCGTGAGGTGCCCTTGCAAGGTGAGAAATCTGTGGATGATGCATACAGCCTGTGGATGATGCTGAGGAGCAGTCAAAGCACTTCTGGAGCCATACAGCAACAGGTAATGCCAAGTGGAGAAATTCAGCTGAAGTTCAACAGCAAGGGAAAATGGCTAAACAGTCTAGGTTTAACCACCTAGGTTCCAAAAAAAAAAAAAAAAAAAAAAAGCCAGCAAACCCAACAAAAAAATGCCACAAACAGACAAAAACCAAACAAGCAAAAGCCATGACAGCATTCTGGTTAAATTTTGCATTTAAATCACTGAAAACACACAGGCTAGCAGAGCTTAGGGAGGACAAAAGACAAGAGAATAGAACATTTCTCAGAGAAGATGCCACAATAAATGCCACTTTAAAGGGCACAGGATCTCAGGCAAGGCAGGATGTGGGTGGGTGAGTGACAGCAAGAGGTGTAGAGTTATTCCACAGAGGCACACCCTAGGGGGATACCACATTCATTACCACAGATCTCATTCTGACTGCTTTTGAATCTGTTTGGAACCTGTGAAGTGAGGCAGCAAAGCTCAGATCATGGATCAGACCCACCCCTTCACTGGCCGAAAGTGCTCTGTCAAGGGAAAGTTCAGGATGTGCTTCAGATATTGTGTGGCCTGGTGGGAAAAAACAGCCCACACTCCTTCCCAAAGGAGAGCAGCTCTCATCCCAGAGAAGGGCTATGAAATCTACAACTAGAGGAGCATAAATCTCTTAAATCACCAGCTGTGCCCATTCAGCAGGGAGAGACAGAGCACATAAATCTCCAAAGGCTCACTTTCAGTAGGAAGGGTGGGCAGGGGCCTCTGTTCTGGTGGCATTTCAAGTGCCTTTGATCAGACACATCATTTGGATTAGTCTAAAGGGGTGTGTGGTGTCTCTGCCCTGCCAGCTGGCTCAGCCCTTGGCTCAGGCTAAGCCCAGCATCACACAGAGACCAGGCCAGACCCTCTGTGCTTGTTTGGGTGGCAGAATGGCCAGGCCAGGAGAGGACACTCAGTGCTGGTGAGCTGGCATGGGGCTGAGGAGGGCTGGCAGTCCTAAAACATTCCACAGCTGTCATGTAGCAAGCTGATACAGATGCCTCATGAGTCAGAGGTCTCTTGGGGCTCCTGCAATGAGTGGCCACATCAGCACAAAGCTGTGGTTGCTGGCTGGGCTTGGCACCAGGACCAGTCTGGAGGAGGGAGCACCAGCACTCGTGTGGCCCCAGGATCATCCCCTTAATGGCTCTGACTGCCTTGGCAGGGGCAGAGCAGAGAGCAGCACTGCATGCCTGTCTGCAGCTGTGCCACGGTCAGAGCAGGCCACAGGCTGAGAGCAGGGGCAGAAGGGGCAGAAGGGCATGAGTTTGGGAGATCAGAGTAGTTCATGCAGCTCAGTGGAGGTGGCTACATCCAGCTACACCAACAGCTTGGAGAGAGACACTTCCTTTGCCTTTTTCCACTGCCACGCACTGCCCATAACATGAGCTGTTTTTCATGCAGTAATTGCCCACTAGGTGCAAATTACCCAATTATACACTTAATTTGCTTTGGCTGATGCTCACCGGAGGCAGCAAGGGTTCACCAGCACCCGTGTTCCAGCTCCATCAGCCTGCCAGCACAGCTTTGGTGATGGAACAGCCACACACTCGGAGCCATGGGATGGCAGGCAGGAGAACTCCCCAGGTCAGGAGCATTGGTGAGGGGCTGAGCAGACACACAGGCAAGAGACTGAACCTGCAGACCTTCGAGCCAGATCAGCAGGAGCTTGAGGCAGTGGTGACAGTGTTCTGCAGCAACGCTCAAAGCCAGGAAACAGGATTAGTGTCACCAACAATAATGGTGCCTGCATTTTACACCCTCCATCACTTTCTACTTTCCCTGCTCTATAGGTTCACCCGTAATTTTTTTTTCTGCCTCTTGCTTGGTGAGGATGAAGTGGACACAGAAGGAAGATGGGCAGCCCACAGCAGCTTCACAAAAAGGGGAGCATGGCTCCACTTTCTGCTGCTGACAGGGACCAGACAGAGGGAAAACCCCCTCTGCCCTCCCAGCTTCACTTTCCAGGACTTCACAGAGCCAATCCCTTCAGGGAAGAGAGCCAGATGTGACAAAACATGAGGATTTGCTTTGAATGTGTGCAGGTTGGCACTCTCAGAGGACTAGGAACACGCATGATGCTGAAATAATTGAAGTAGAAAACGTTGGAGCTGAAACTAAGACCTAAAGGGAGGGAGGTGGAACACCTGCCTTCTCTCTGATCACTGAATAAGTGGGTGAATTGTCAGCACAGGTGCAGCTACACAAATAACTCTTTGCTTCAGTCCTCAGTGACAAACCTGGGACCAGGAGGGATGAGCTCTGCCGTGCTCAGCTCCAGTCACACGTTGCAATTTGGGTGCAGATCATCACCACCCAACCACAGAGCCATGGAACATTTAGGCTGAAAAGCCCTCTGAAACCATCCAGTTCATCACAAAACACTGCAGGAATTTCTTAGGGAGGCAGGAAAAATGTCACTATTTGCAGCCTTTAAATTTACTAGCACTAAAACCTGTATTTGATAAATACGGACGGCATCCTGGTTTTGGTATTGGACCAGAAGCAGGCTTCCATACTTATATAGTATTTAAGCAGAAACCAGGGAAAAAAGGTCACAGAGTCTGTGAATCATCATAGCCATGGATGATTTTGTTTACAAAATTTTTTTGGCTGATTCAAATAACTGTAAATCTTTTCAGCTATACATTACCAACTCTGTATTTTAAACACTAAAATGCTTCATTCCAACAGCCATGGTCCAAGAAGAAAATCAGTCCACAGATAAAACTCAAAGGATTTGTAGTTCTGCTCTGATTTACCAGATATTTTCCTAGGAGATGCTGCAGTAAAACATTAAAGAGGAAGAGGATCATACTGGTGTTAACTGCAGCTTTTCTTTACATGAATCATTTATGCTTCACTGTAACAAGATGTTTTCAACATGGATTTCACTTTAATCTTTTACTTCAATCCACTGAGTCCCACTGTGCCACGAGTGGTGAAAGGCTTAAAAAGAGTCACACCACCAAAAACGTCACATCACAAATAGATGAAATCTAACTGCACTTAGGGGAAGAAGGGGGAGGTACACAGAAAAGGCACAAATCACAGATGTGGTAGGGATTACAGGTCTCTTACTTGCTGCTGCCACCACCCCTACCCTCAGGTTTCTCAGCTGCTGCTGGCATGAATTATGTTTAACAGCTACTAAGGACAGTTTGCAAAGCAATCAGGCCGCTGGTCCTGATGCTCCTGCTCAAGGATGTCCTGCAGAGGGGAGAGGGCAGGGGTCTAAGTGGGTATTTGAAAAATTAACACCCTTGGCTGTGTGGCAACAGGTCCAAACAACCCTAAGTAAGAGCTGGGTATTCTCAGAGCCTCCTCCAAAAAGCCTGGGGAAGACAGAAATCTCTCTCTTCACAAACAGCAAAGAGAAGGAAGCAAGGGATAAGGAAGCAGCGAACACACTCCAGGTCTCCTTCCCAGGAGATTTTCCTCAAGCTCCGAAGGGAACAGAGGGGCAGGAGCAGGGGTGAAGGGCCAAGGGGAGCCCTGCCATTGCTGCTGGGGTGGGCGCTGGCTCCGGACACGGGGAAAGCGACAGCAGCGACCCAGCAGCGTCTTATCCTGGCTCCGGGAGCCCTCCAGCGGCCCTGCAGCGGGAATCACGGAAAGACTGGGATGGGAGGCGCCTGGAACATCATCCCATCCCACCCTGGGCACGGACAGCTTCCGCCAGCCCAGGCTGCTGCGAGGCCTGCCCAAGCTGTCCGTGAGGCCTGGGGGTGATCTGTCCCTGTCACCGCCCAGGAGGGAGCCCACAGCAGCACCCCGGACACGGTGAGATCATTCTGGGACACACCATTCCTCCCTCCCCCTGGCCTGAAGCAAAGGCAGCGAACCTCAAGGAGAGCCCAGACAGGGAATTCACGCCCCAGGGTTGTTAAATTTAGCCGCGAGATCGCCACAAGGGAGACGGAGGGGGGAAAACACCATCAGCTCCCCACAGGCTCTGTGGATGGGCAAACAGTCAATTTGCTAAAACTAAATCCAGAAGGAAAGCAGCAAGTATTTGCACAAAGATGCTGGGCAAAAAGCTGGAATTCATCTCATTTCTCAGGAGGGAATGAGTCATCACTCATCAGGGCCCTGTGAGTGTGGACAGAGCAGGGTGCCAGGGGACACCAAACCACTCATCCAGCAGTGAACCTCGGCACAAGTGCCTTCAAAAGAAGAGTGGTTTGGGGTTTTTTTCTATACCTAGGGATAGAACAACATCCAGTGAGCACAAGGGGTAGAGCACAGTTGGTTTGAAGGCTCCAGGTGCAGGAGAAGGAAGGCAGGACAGTAAGAGTCTTGCTTGTCACAACCTCAGGCAGATTGCGAGGATTTCCTCTAGGCTGGTGAGTGGGTAGCAAAAGCCACCCCCTCTTGCCCCATCACACACATGGCATGGATGTTTGCAGCTCCAGTCTGCAATTCCCTCCCTCTAGCTGGAAAATGGTTAACACTTGATTCCTTCTGGTGTAATTTTCATATGACTGACCGCAGAACTATTAATACCTGAACCCAGAGCTGGTTCAGCTAAACAACTCACTCCCTCCAAGAGGAAGAAAAACCACAACTTCTCCTACCCCTGGAAAAAAAACCTTTTGTCACTGCAAGGCCGGCAGCTCAGAGGTAACGAGATGGGTCTGGCTTGCTGATGCCCCTCAGGGGAGAACGCCGAGCAGCATGAGAGAGCTCGGCCTGGTGCTGCTGTGCCTCCTCCGCCTCTCCAGGAAGGGTGAGTTCTGAGCCTGCTGCCAGCCCCTGGCTGACCACAGCTTCTCCTCTCACCCCAGCCCGAGGGCCAGGGAGCTGCCTGCTGCCACAAACTCTGCAAGAATCGCACTCTGCACCACGTTGCTTGAGAGTATTCCTGAAATTCCAAGCGCACGTGGCAGCGCTGGGAAGACTCAGGCTTAGCAATTGTCAGTTTGTGGGGTTTTTTTGCATTTTTCTGTTTTCCTAACTTGAGCAGGAAGTTCATCTGACTATTCCCCGGCTTTGTTGGGTGGATGCAGCATTTTCATCACCGCTCTGCTTCATATTCCTTAGGAGTTACACAGTATTTTCCAGTTCCACTGAGCACTTAAGCTCACATTACTTCAAATATCTGTTGAGGCAAACACGTCATGTGTGGAGACACGAGGCTTGACTCCATTTTCTCAGAAGCTGCTTAAATTCCATTAAACTCCATAGGATTTGCTTAGCTTCACTGCCAAACAGCATTTGCCAGAGCAAGGGTAGCTGTGAGCTGGTCCCCAGCTCTTGCTGTTGTCCTCATGACCTTTCCCACTGAGCACCAGCAGTAACACTGACCTGACAACTCCTTTTGGGAGTTACCTTCTGTAAGGCATGCAGGCTGTTTGCCTCTCTCTTCCTTGTGAGAGCTTCAGTTCCATTAGCAAATGGTGGCTGGATATTAACAAAAGGAATGTGAAAGACCTGCCACGCTGAGGCTTTAGAGTTAAGGGTAAATTATACAGAGAAAGTTGACAGCTCCCTCCACTCATAACTAGGCAAACTGTGTTTCCATGGAAATGGGCGGAGATGCTAACATTAAAAGCACTTATTTTTAACATTATTTTTCATCTGGAAGGCAAGGGGGGCTTATGTGCTAAAAAAAAAAAAAAAAAAAAAAAAAAGTTCTTTCCTTAAGATTGAAAACCAAAAAAAAAGAAAAGCTAATCAAAGGGGCAGCAGAGAGAAGCAAATCATACTCAAAAGCACACAATCTACAATTCTCCTAAAGTAAAGGTTACAGTGACATGCTGCAAAATAACTAAAACAAGAGCAAATAAGCTAGGAAGCAATAGCAATCACTGTTTTCAGTGCCAGGTCTTTGTGCTCAAAGCTCGTGAGCTTCATGAAGCTCCTGCAGTGCTGCAGCATTGTTTATTAGATTACCTGGGCTGGAAAAGGTGCCCATACCAGTATTGTGTATGACAGGGCAGCACGACTCCAGATCTCAGTAATCAAAATACTGGCTTGGAGCTGACTCCATGTAAATATCTGCAGAGAGAACTGGCCCTAGGATGGCCTTTGTCCATTGTGTAACACACAATAGGTTAATACAAGCTGCACTGCCACATAGGTGTTTGTCAAGTGTTATGGGCCACAGATACAGGAACAGAAAAACAAATCTTATCTTTGAGTCTACAGGAGTAATCCGACAGCTGAATGCCCATATGGTGAAGCCAACAAGACCAGGGATGGGTGGAAATACTTATAGGATGCTTTTACATTTTACAGGTATTCTCAGCTACTGAGAGGCCCTGATCCAATGGAGTTTCATAAGACAGGAATGTAGGCACAGATGTGTTTCTGAAGCCACAATCTGCTGCTACAGCTGTTGATAGCAGCAGAACAGTGGGTAGATAGACATGTCTATATATTAAACTGAAAGAGGGACATTTAGATTAGGTATTAGGAAGATATTCTTGGCTGTGAGGGTGGTGAGCCCCTGGCACACATTGCCCAAAGAAGCTGTGGCTGCCTCTGGATCCTTGGAAGTATCCAAGGCCAGGCTGGAAGGGGCTTGGAGCATCCTGGGCTAGTGGAAGTTGTCCTTGCCCATGGCAGGGAGGTGGAATGAAACTAATTTTAAGGCCCCTTGCAGCCAACCATTCTGCAATTCCACAATCCCTTCTTGCTTGTAGGTGTGCAGTGCAATGGCTGGTCTGTCCACGTCCCGTCTGACGTCACTGGAGAGCTTGGGAAGATGGTTATCCTGCCCTGCACCTTCACACACCCCTACAAAACATTTGACCGCGCCCTCACGGCCATCTGGAGGATCAAGGAGCCCTACAACGGCACGGTGATCTTCAAGTGTGTGAGCCAGAGCAGCAGCGAGCTCTGCAGGACTGCCATCAGCCACAAGAACAAGTACAAACTGCTGGGCAACCCCCGGCACAAGGACCTGTCCATCAGGGTGGACAACTTGACCTGGAGCGACAGCGAGAGGTACTTCTGTCGGGTGGAGCTGGCCGGAGATGTCCAGGACAAGTACGAGAGCAGGAATGGGATAAAGCTGCACGTGATTGGTAAGAGGGCCTGAGAGGCCAAGGAGGCAAAGCCACCCTCGAGGGAGCTGCCACGGGGTGTGGGAAATGACAGACGGCAGCAGGAGCTTATCTGAGGTGGTTTTCCAAAGGGTTGGGGTTTCTTTCTCCATTATAAGAGGGAAAATTCATTGTCCTCCTCAGTCTTGGTTTGCTAAAGGATTGGGTTTTCTTTCTCCGTTGCAACAGGGCAAATTCATTGTCCTCCTCAGTCTTGGTTTTCCAAAGGGCTGGGTTTTCTTTCTCCATTATAACAGGGCAAATTCATTGTCCTTCTCAGTCCTCCAACAAGAGACAGTGAGCACAATGCAGGGAAGGGAATAGGAACAAAACTGGTAAGGAAATGGCGAGGCTCTGGCAGCTGGGGTGAGAGCCCCCCAAAAGCTGTGCATCCCACTTTGTCCCTGCAGCACAGGATCAGGGCAGGCAGCAGAGGGAAACTGGGATTAACTAAACTGGGGTTAAAGACATCCTCTCCACCAGACCCTGAACTGGACAGCCCAGGTGCTGAGCACAAGTTCACAGGTGTTAGCACTACAGGGCTGGGTGGTAGCAGAGGATTGGAAAGACAAGATACCTGCTACCCAGGTGCCATAAATCCAAAATCCTCTGGAGCATGAAACACAATCCTGGAACCTTTTTTTTTTTTTTTTTTTTCCTGGAAAACCAGCTCAGAGCAACAAATGTCAAATGCTAATCCCACTTCCCAGGGCAAGCTCACAGATCAAGGGGCAGCCAGAAGAGGCTCAGAAGCAGACTCAGATCTTACCCAGGCCATGAGGCTGGATGATTTTGCTTTTGAGAGGGAAGCTTCTTATGCCTGCTGTGCACTGTGGGTGTCCAGATGGGACCGAGGATGAGCTTGGCTGTTTCTTGAGAAGTTCTGCTCAGCTGAGGCTCTCCTTTAGTTGCAGCAGCTCCTGAACTCCCACAAACAGCAGGGCCAGGGCAGGATGGCAGCAAGATCTGTCTCACAGGGGCTGCCTGGATTTTAACACCCGAGGAATGATAACACAAACAGCTACAGTACCCTGCTTGGAAATGGGCTCTGACACTGTGATTGGGAGGGGTTAATTAATGCATAAAAGGTTAATTTAAACACCAAAATACACAGACCCATGACACACAGATTCCTCTTGCACTACATGGACAAAGAGGACGACTTGTAGTAGGTGGTTGCAAATTCTGTTTTTGTTGTCTAGTCTGAAAAAAAAAAAAAGAATTTCTGCTCTTCCTCTGTGAGGACACTCATTTAGTGCCCTTTGCTTTCCATAACACCTTTTTGAACATTTCCAGGGATGAGGGTTACACCATTTCCTTGGGCAGCCCCTTCCAATATCCAGTCACCCTTTCTGTGAAGAAATTTCTCCTAATATCCAACCTGAAAGTGACCTAGTAACTCTGGGTCTGGAAAAAAAAAAGTAATCAAAAATAGGCTGTGGCAAGAAGCAGATATTTTCCTTATAACTAACCTGCCAAATCTGGCAAGTCTCAGGCACTGAGCAAAGGGCTCACACAAACAGGTCCATCCACGTGCTCTCTGGAGGTCAGAGATCAAAGGAACAGCCACAAAATTGTGCAGAACACTGAGGGTGGCATGTCCTGGACCTGGAGATGCAGCCAAGTCCAGAAAGATCAGCAGCTGCACCTGTGCCTACAATGGTGGGTGGCACTTCTCTGCCTTCTGCCAACGAGGAAGGGCACAGCAGCTGAAGTTGGGCAAAGTTCAGAAAAATGTGTGAGCCATTATTGGGATAAAACAAACAGAGTACACATCCTTGCATCCAGGCTCTGCTGGGTGAACCCTTTTGCCCCTCTGTCCAACACAGGCTGGGTGGGAAAATCTAAAAGTGCCAAGAAAAAACAAGGAAGGAGAGGGCTGATGCCAGCATCCATAGATTACATAGTTTATGTTGAAGGGAACCTTTAAAGCTCATCTTGTCCAACCCCCCTTCCACTAGATGATGTTGCTCCAAAGCCTGTCCAGCCTGGCCTTGGAGACTTCCAGGGATCCAGGGGCAGCCACAGCCTCTCCAGGCAGCCCTCTTTTCAAAAAAATTTCTCCTTACATCTAACCTAAATCTCTACTCTTTTAGCTTCAAAACATCAACCCTTGTCCTGTCACAAAAAGTCCTGCTAAAAATTTATCCCCATTTTGCTTAGAGGCCCTGGCAGGGGCTCTGAGGTGTCCCTGGAGCCTTCTCTTGTGCAGGGGAACAGCCCCAGCTGGGCCAGGCTGGCTCCAGAGCAGAGGGGCTCCAGCCCTGGCAGCATCTCCGTGCCTCCTCTGCACTGGCTGCAGCAGCTCCACGTCCTTGTGCTGCTGGAGCCAGGGCTGGGGCAGCTCTGCAGGTGGGCTCTCACCTGAGCCCAGGGCACAGGGGCAGAATCCCCCCTGCCCTGCTGCCCAGGTCCAGCTCTCACCCACCAGTATCCAACTTTACCCTGCCAGAACAATGCTGAGGATCCACCAAGACCAAATCTTCATTCCTGCTGTTTGCACCATACCTTCCTTCGCAGCCTGACCAGCTTTCCCTCCCCCGTTGCCATTCCCACAGCGGCCCCCAGGATCATTAACATCACGGTCAGCTCCAGCAGGGACCACACCTTCCAGGCTCGCTGCACGGCCGAGGGGGAGCCAGCGCCCATCCTGACCTGGACAGGACCCCCTTACAGCAACCTGAGCTCCAGCAGCAGCTCCAGCCACCGCATCACCAAGGAGCTGCACTCCCTGACCCACGATGGGAAATACACCTGCACCGCCGTCAACAGCCACGGCAGGGCAGAGGGGGCCGTCTACTTCTACAAATTCAGAGCCTCCGACAGCTCCTCCTTCATGATCTTGATCTTCGTCCCACTGGGAATCAAGGTGGTCATTTTGCTGGCGATACTGAGCTTCACTGCTTTCTCCAGAGAAGGTCAGTGTCCTGGCTTGCCTCCATCCACTGGCAACCAGGGATGGATGCGCAGACAAATCACACAGGAGGGGACTGGGTTTGTTTGGGGGGAGGGAGTGTTAATGATTTCATGATTTTCTGCACTAGGAGAAGGACAATTCTAGCAAGAAACCTAAGAAGAGACAAGAGCTCTTGGCTGGTTGGTCACAGCCTGCCGAGAGAGGAAATTTGGAAATTTCCTTTGGAAATTCAGAGGGAGCAGGGGTTTCCCTGTGCTGAAGAGGAAATGTTAATAAACCAACAGAGGGGAAATCAGAGGAGAACCCACTGCCTACATAACCATTTTTTATTTTTTCCCTTGAAGCAGGCTAATTACTATCTAGTCCCCTGTAGCCCACAGCCAGGATCTACCTTTGCTGCATCCCACACAAGTTTAATCTCCAGGGATGGACATCCTCATTTTAAGACCATCCCTGTCAGTCCCCCAGGACCTCACTACCCAGTACTTCCCCAGCATTTGTGAAATCCCACCTTCCAGCCACGCCAAGGCTGTGAGATCAGGGAGTGCCCAGCTTACAGGAGATGGGAATCAGCCCATGGACTGAGGGTTACCACATCCCAAGCAGCCAGGAGGCCGCTGGTCCCAAACCCTCCAGTGCTGCTGAGTGGTGGCATGGGCAGGAGGGGACTGAGAAGAATGGGATGTCACATCACTGTGACTCATCTGTAGGGACAATCTGATGTCACACTCATGGAAGCCACCACTTGTCTTGAACAGCAGAAGTTGTCAGACCAACCAGAAATGCTTTGCTCCTTGTATTCCAGTGCCTAATTCCCAAGCACACAGAGAGGGCCACACGCCAGACATCAGGACTTCTTCTCATTCACTGGAGTGTCACAACCCCCCTCCAGTGCAGCTTCCCAGCAGCTCTAGGTCACTCCTGGCTCCCCAGCCCGCTCTGACCTCATTGCTAACCCACATCATCATTTCCACTTCACAGGTCCCCCCTCTGCTCCACCCAGCCTGGCCAGGTAAGGATGTCTTGCCTTCTACTCATGTTATCCTGCAGGAGAGTAAGGATGGCCAAGGTGAGAAATGCAGCGTGTCCTTGGTCTTGGTAACAATTTTCTGACCTCAGAGCAGGCTTCTAGGGAAGGGAGAGGGTTGAGCTGATGGCCAGGTGAGCCAGCGTGAGGGAACAAGGGCTGGACACTGCTGGGAGGAGGTTCTGGCTTGGGCACAGCTGAGAGGAGACCCCAGTAGAGTGAGGAGAAGGGACTGGGCTGCTTTTTGGAGAGACTACAGCCTGCTGTACCAGCAAAGGGCTGACAGAAGTTTAGATGTGCCATAAGCCCAGAGCATGGCTGGAAGGCTGCACACAGGTTGGGAAAGCTGGGGCTGTTCCCCTGCACAAGAGAAGGCTCCAGGGACACCTCAGAGCCCCTGCCAGGGCCTCCAGGGGCTCCAGGAGAGCTGCACAGGGACTGGGGACAAGGCCTGCAGGGACAGCACACAGGCAATGGCTGCCACTGCCACAGGGCAGGCACAGATTTTGGCATCTTGGGCAGGAATTGCTGGCTGGCAGGGTGGGCAGGCCCTGGCACAGGGTGCCCAGAGCAGCTGTAGCTGCCCCTGGATCCCTGGCAGTGCCCAAGGCCAGGCTGGATGGGGCTTGGAGCAGCCTGGGACAGTGGAAGGTGGCATTCTACCCCATGGCAGGGGGTGGCACTGGATGAGGTTTAACATCACTCCCAACCCAAACCATTCCATGGTCCTGTGCTGCCACATTAAACCAACAATGGATCATCCACCCAAGGGAAAGGGATACGGTCTGTGCTGACACTGTGAAACAGAAAGCTTCCCCTCTCTCTTCACCCCAGTTTGTAATGGAGTACAAAACGTTGCCACACTAAAGCTGATGACCTCAGCCAAGTGTGCAGGGAAGGCATGGAGAGGTGGCAAATATCCCAGCTGAGGGGTGACAGGGTCTGATTCCTGGGCTGGCATCCACACCACGTTCCCACAAACTCCTGGCGTTCCCCATGACCCAACACAACACTGATCTTGGACACTCCTGGCAGCTGGGGTGGCCAAACTTCTGGAATGGGAAAAAAATTTTAAAAATTAAAACAAACACACACACACACCAAAAAAAAAAAAAAAAAGAAAAAAGAAAAGAAAAGAAAAAAAAAGGCAAACAAATCCCACCAAAACCAATCCTCCTTGATCTAATGGTAAAGAAGGTCAAAGATAATTACATCTGAGGTCAAGGATAATTACAACTGCATGGGGTGACTCCCTTTCAATCTGAGTTATTTCTTTGTGATACTTCCTTCCTGAGTTACCCCACATCTCCTTCCCTGACCATTCCCCAGAACAACAGCCATTCCAGCAGGACAGTCAAGTGCTTAGGGCACAGCTAAAGAAACCAGGAATTTAATCCTACAGTCAAATCTATAATTTCTTATTAAAAAAACAGTTTTGCTGATTTATCAGGGTCTAAACCACATTGTACCCTTGGTTATATTTGCATAGAAATTTACAGATAGGAAGGCTTAAAGCCAACACTTACCTGAGAAGATCCTGCTCAGGAGGAGTTTCACACAATTCACAGAATCCCTGGGTTGGAAGAGACCTTAAAGGCCATCGAGTCCAACCCAGCCCTAACACCTCAACTAAACCATGGGACCGAGTGCCACATCCAGTCTTTTTTTAAACACATCCAGGGATGGTGACTCCATCACCTCCCTGGGCAGACCATTCCAGAACTTTATCACCCTTTCTGTAAAAATCTTTTTCCTAATATCCAACCTATATTTCCCTTGGCACAGCTTGGTTTGTCACAACCTCACGAGGTTCTGGGCAGGACAGTAGCACAGTGGATGCCAAAGGTGCAGGAGATTGCTCTGCATGCTTTAAGATGTAAAACCTTTAAGGTGTAAAACAGCAGCTGCAGCTGAGACCCTTAAAAACCACTGTGAAGTAGAAGAGGCTCTGTCACAGATGCTTCCCCTGACATCCACTGGCAAATCCCAGAGGAGCCTGAAATATGCCCTCACCTTTCCCACATCTCCTCCTGCCAGGCCCCAGCAGCTGGAGTGCACCTACGAGAACTGCGAGCGCGGACACAGCCGGAGCCGGCCCGCGGCAGCGCCCCGGCGCAGCTGAGGGGCCGGCGGGACCATCCCCACGGAGCTGCTTCCTTCCCCAGGGAGCACGGCACAGGGGTCACACCAGCCTCGGGGAGGCTGGAACTCCATCACCTCCAAGGCCCCTGCCACGGTGCTGTGAGCTCCAGCCCTGCTTCTCCTCACAAGTGAGAGCAGCCTTTATGGGGGAAAGAAAAGAAAGAGTGATGGAGCTGGAAGGGCAAAACGTGGTCAATTGTAACTTATCTGTGTTTTTAGCCCCTATCAAATATTTAAGCAAGCAGGCAATGGTATAAAATTGCCTCAGAGCTTTTTGCTTTGGAATTTTTTCAAACACTGCTCTGAAAAGCATTTTCACCACTCTGCTTCTCCAACCACATCCAAGTGGGTACTGACATGATAGAAATCCTAGCTGTGGCAAAACACTACTGGGATTTCTGATGGGGCTTGTTCCTTTTTTAAAAATATTATTATTATTACTATTTCTAAACACTCAGAAGAGTTTATTTTAAAGGAAACCTTAACTTTAAAGAGGAGTCCAAGGAAAAAGACATCTTCCAAAAACTGGTAGAGCTGAAAGCAGGACATGAGAAGTCTGAACTAGTCTGTGTTCTAACTCTGCTTTAGCTCCCAGTGCCCAGAAACTCAGAGCTTTGTGACCAATGTTCCAATACACAAAATTGTTGGGTTGTTGGGGTTTTTTTTCTAGTTTAAAAAATATTTCTAAACCATTTCCACCTCTGTGTTACACAAAGAAGTTTCTTTAATGTCTGACTACTCATTTCTTAAATCTCTCTCTTCTGAGATGAAGTCACTACTGCAAAATCACAAAGGCCAGCCACAGAGAAATCTCTTACCCAACTATAAACATCCTCCAGAATCAGGTGAACAGATCCAGCTTATGGTATAGGACAATGAGGGTCAACCTGGAGTCCTGGAGAGGCAGGCAGAGACCCAGGATAGGGCTGGAGCCAGCAACAGGTTGGCTTAGATGAGGAGGAGGAGAAAGAATTAAGAAAAAGCAGGTGGCTTGAACTTACTTTCACGTTTATACTGCTGGATTTGATGCTCTGTGCAACAATCCCAGTGCAGCAGCTCCAAAACTGTTCCCCACACAATCCTGCCCCTGGTAACAACAAACTGCTACTGAAATACCATCAAGCTTGCAGGCTCGACCCCAGGCTGGGAATCATTATTTTAAAGTTCACCTCTTCATAAGATCTGCACCGGGAAAGAAAAGCAGAATTTTAAATTACTTGGCCAGAATGATAAGGGGGAAGGAAAAAATAAATGGGAGGATATATTTGAACCTGGTCTTTTAAATCCCTGCTTAAAATTCCAGCAGTGACAAAGCCAGATTTAATAAAAAATAAGAGATGCAAAGAGAAAAGGGAAGTTACAGCAGACAGTGTAGTCACAGACCTGTAAGCTCAGTTTCACAGGTGTCACAGAGGAAAGATATCTCAGAGATATCAGTTGGACAGACTGAATTGGATTTCTGAGCCCTTATGATTTACAGACATATAGTAATGAGAACTCACTTCTCCCTGTGCATGGGATTTAGGCTTGGCTTTCTGAATTTTTCCCTAAAAAATTACTTCTTTAACTCAAGTAGTTTGGGTCCAAATAGAAGCATCAGACCTCGTGTCCCAAAATCAATTGGTTCCCCTTGGTCCTCATGGGAGACTCAAAACACCCACTCAAACCAGTATAAACTGGAGGGACAAAACACAGCAGTGCACCCACCAGGATGCTGCTGGTATTGGACTCATCCGGGAGATGCAGGGAATGCCAAAGCCCTTCCACTAAAACTAGAAGGAATAAAAAGTCAATCAGTTGGGCACCACTTGGAAAACAAGGCCCCAAGCTCTGGAGTTCACATGTGCACAGAGAACTGCAATAGAGGTCCAGACTTCAGCCACTGCCAAGCTGATCATGAAGCCACAAGACTGCTCTGCCGGGGGCACATACAGCAATTATGTGTTGTCTGATGTGGATCCTTCTACCAAGCTGAAAACACCACAGTGTCTGTCACCAACTGCTTGATTTTCCGTTTTTATTTTGCATGGTCTTTGCAGACAGAGCATGTTATAAATACAACATTTGTAAAAACTCAACAGCTGAAACAATTCCTCATTTTGAAAGTGCATGTCAAACACGTATTTCTGACTTCTTCACATTTATATGCAACTGATCAATAACATTTAACCTAATAAACCCAGTGCTTTTAAGTCTTTGGGGGGAAAAGCAGCAGAATGTATTCCTCCAGCCATGAATTTTCCAAAAGAGTCTGTTAAAAACCATGCTGCATTGGTATCTGGTTACTATACAGAGGGATGTACATATATATATTTATTTATAGGCTCGCAGATAGAGCAAAGAACTCTAAGACCACATTAAAATGATGGTGATCTAATGACCCAGCTGGCATAATTAGCAGAATCTGCCAAGAAGGAAAAGGTGATCTGTCCTCTAGCACCAGAACCATGGTTTAAGAGCAACAGCTCAAAGCATCATTGACCAGTAGGTAGCACATTTCTATCCCCTATTGACCAGAACTCATGTTTTAACGTGCAACCATGTCAAAAAACACAAAGGCACAATTAATGGAGGAAGAGAAAAAGTGACCAGTTCCTTCACAGAGCTGTAGGGACTGGGACTGCAGGACCTTGGGCCAGCTCAAACAGATCAGTGATTAAAGGGACATCAAACAAGCACCAGGAAAAATTCGCCTTCTGCTTTTCCGAAACAAAAGTGCATTCTATGATCAGACAAGGCAACAAAACCAGTGATCGTTCAGCTGAAACAACAGATTTACAGGCTCATGGTTCATGCTTTGGCAACAGAATTTTAACAAGTGATCAACAAATTGAATACAACAAAAATGCCTCTTCACAGTGTCATCTAAAATCCTGTCATGTCACGTCCAGCCAGGCAGAAGAAAATAAGCTTAAGTGGTGGTTGTTAAACATTTCCTAAACAACTGGACTTAGGAATTAAGGAATCCTATTTAACATGATCCTAACTGACTGTTCCCCTCTCAGACACTGGAGATCCAGAAAATATGTCTCTGGATTTAAATCCCCTTGAACTTGGCTAGAAGTTACTTGCATTTAATCAAGCAATATAGATGCAGACACACTATATTTAGAAAACAGGAAAAAACAATATTCTAGTTCCCATTTGTGTTGATATTTACAGAAGTGGGTAAAGATTGTAGGCATGCCTCTAAAAACTACGGATTTCTGTGGGATAGCAAAAAAGTCAAGATTTAAAATACCATCCTTTCAAATACAGGGATTTCACAAAAATCGCT